GTGGTCCACGGTATCAAAAGCCGCCGAGAGGTCCAAAAGAACAAGGACAGAGGAATAACCCCTGTCCCGGGCCCTCCAGAGATCATTTACCAACGTGACCAATGCCGTTTCCGTGCTGTATCCCGGCCTGAAGCCCGACTGGAGCGGGTCCAGATAGACTGTTTCCTCCAGGTGTCGAGGGAACTGCTGCGCAACCACAATCTCAACAACCTTCGCCACAAAGCGAAGGTTTCTCAATATTGGAAGAAGCTGTCTTTGCTTATCAAGCCCAAATATTTGTGGAACTCTGATTATGAAATATCCAGAGTCAAGGAACATATTTATTAGATGTTTATCCTACCTTTATTTTACAAGTAATTCAAGGTAGTCATTATATATAATACTCCTTCCTCCTCCTATTTCCTCCACAATAACCCTATGAGGTGAATTGGACTGCGAGAGAATGACTAGCTCAAAGTCACCTAGTTGGTTTTTGTTCCTAAGGCGGGACTAGAAATTACCATCACCTGGTTTTTAAGTCATTACTTTAACTACTACACCAAACTGGTTCTACATTAATTACAGAAAATACAGTGGACCCTTTGTGTTTTACCGAGAACCATTTAGTAGGCAAGATAAGGGTTTGTGGGTGTTGTGAATGAAGCCCTAATGCAAAGTGGAGAGGACCATGATACAGATGTGTATTTATTCTTTCTTTACTATTATATCTACTTCAAAGCTTTCATTATAGTTTTCTCACTTCAAAATATTATCAGTTTTCAATAGCTATGAGAAGCTGTTAGACAGGATACCTAGGAGAATATATGTACAGTAGTTCAGGATTGAACTGTGATGTTACCTAGTGGGATCATGAAGCATCTGCAAGCAAACAACCAAGCTTAAAGACCACCAAGGATGCTACAGGACACTAAGGACCACAAAGATGGGCTTCAGGGAGCAAGCACAGCTGTAGAGTAGCAGATTGTTCATCTATAATCCATAGCACAGCAGCTCAGATCAGGAGCTCCATAGAGTGTTTCAACTTCTTTTCAGATGCTGATTTTCCAAAATTGATTCTCACCAAAGCCCACTTTTCGTCTCCTCCTCCCTCCCCCAATACAGGCAGAGAATTTCCTCTGTCCACATGCTGTGTTACTTATCTGA